AAGTTATAGTTGTAACAAACAAAAATTTTCGCCGAATGAACGAATATCGAATAATCAATTTTTAAAATTTTTTCGAACGAATGAATATCGAATAATTGATTTTCGAAAATTTTTCGAACGAATGAATATCGAATATTTGATTTTCGAAAATTCTTCGAATGAACGAATATTATTCGACTTTCGATTTTCATTTTATTCGAATTTGAATATTCGAATATTGGCACATTCCAAAATTCGAATGAACGAATACTTGAATAACCGAACCTGGTCGAATATTCGACTAATTTCGAATAAATGTTCGAATATTGTTCGAATATTTGAATGCAATATTCGAATATTCGAATATTCGAATAACTATCTTTTAAAACTACTCGAATGAATGAATATTCGAATAACCTTTATTTACAACTCGTCGAATGAACGAATATTCGAATAAGTCATTTTTCGAGATCGTCGAATGAACGAATTATTCGAATATAGGCCTTTCTCATTTCTTCGACTATTCGAATAATCGAATAAATGGACTTTCTCAAATATTCGACTATTCGAATATTCGAATAGTCGAATATTTCGAATAAATTATTCGAACACGAATATTCGGTGCTAACTATACTAGAAGTTGCTTGAAGTCTTTGCGTTCATCTACAGCCTCATCCATGCTTTTTGTGGACAAAAAGGACCCTTGTGAGAGGCATAAAAGTGGGCGGAGTTTGCCAAAAGGGCGGGGCTAATACATGAAGTACATCTGAGCCTATGTTGATTATATGAACAAAAACTGAGAGGATTGGACAGATAGTATTGAATTTAAGGCAGCCGCGCACCATTGCGCGGCGTCGTCCACAGAGACAGACTGCCTGCCGCGCACCATTGCGCGGCACTGTCGTCAACGTGTTAATTGGGGGACTTGCTCCCGTAAAGCATCAAAATTTCAATCCCCCTACTTTTGCCGGGAGCTGTCTTTGAGGTGACCATCACTGAAATAAATTCCATGGCATAGATGTTACTTGAATGCTAGCCTTAAATTTTCTTCAGCGCGATCAACGTTCTAAGATATTTCGCACACTTACTCGATCTTTCAATGTCGTTTTTGGCTTTCTATATATTTTGTGTCCTCCGTGGCCACCCTGGGTCATACACAAGATAGCTTTTCGAGCACCGCCCAGAGGAGAATATTATTTTTTAGTGGGAGGAAAGGTAAATTCTACTTTTATCACTGTCTCAACTGAGTCAAACAACATTAAGCAAGGCAATCGTCGCACATTTTTCACAGCCAAAGAAGCAGAAGGGAACGAGAACCTTCAAATCTGTCTTCCACATTTACTGAAAAAGAACGTAAAGGCACTTGATATTTATTATCACATACTCAGATGCAAGGTATAGTTGGCTGAGTCAGCGCGACGTTTTATTTGAATGCTTTCGTTTTTAGCCGGTCATTTTGAAGTTGTACGATAACGTACGTATCTGCATCATGGAAGTGATGTGCGAACAGACTGAAAAGTGGTTGAGAAGAAGATCAAGCACAAGGTCACAATTTTAAACAAAAATGTTCCGTCCTCCAATATCTGCTGTACAGATCTCGATCGCCAAAACTTATCATTTTTGCACAGCCAAATAGCTCTGATATGGGATGCTGCATGCTGATGGATCCAAATTTTGTTCGTTATCCGCTTATAACTCCGTTCTTGTAGCAGGTTGATTTGAGGCAGACATCGCTGACTTTCTGCGTTGTGATATGTTGGTGTTCGATTACGTTGGTTACGGTGTTAGTGACGGTGAAGCGACAGAAAAAACTGTTTATGATAGCGTTGAAAGAGTGTACAGGTATGACTAACATTAAGATTCAGAGTTTCGAATCTATTCCTGATTTCAGTTACGCCACAGAAAATCTTGGATATGCTCCATGTGATATAGCATTAATCGGATTTAGTTTGGGCACAGCGGCAATGGTTCATATAGCTTCGAAAACTCCAGACGTTGGCAAATTTCAAGAAAGCTTTATATTCAACTCGGTGATGTTTCCATTCAGCTTGGTGCCATGGTCTTGATCGCGCCGTTTATGTCACTTTGGCGAGTGATTCTCCGACGTCCAAACCTTCAACCTTCAGTAGATATGTTTCCAAAGTCAGTGATGCTCGAATGTTATGAGAGAATCTAGAATATGTGCTTGCTTCAAGAATCTGAATCATCAAAGCTTTTGTTATTCAAGCGAACACGACTGATTGCAAAACTAAAGGTTCTTGGGCGCTAATTTGCGTTGTTTGCTGAACATTTGAACAGCATTTGCATTTCAACAACATCATTTGCTGAACAGCCATTTGCGACCATTTCATGAGAGAATTTAGAATATCTGATTGCTTCAAGAATTTAAATTATCCAAAGCTTTTGTTATCCAAACGAGTACGATTGCTTGCAAAAATAAAGGTTCTTGAGCGCTAATTTGCGTTTTTTGCTGAGCATAATTTTGAGCCACTTGCGACCACTCTCCGATCAGATTGATTTATCTTATAAATCAATCAATTATTAATTGTTAGTTGTATAGTATTTGATATTTCAAGGAAGGAGCGAAAATAACGTTTCAAAAATGTCTCTATCTGAAAATTTTGTTTCATAAAATATGTACCTGTTTAGTCATCAATATCTCTCTTTCCTCGTCTTCTGCCACTATTCAAGCATCGTGCTTTCAGATTTACATTTACAGAGACAGAGCAAAATACCGATTTTTATCACTGTAAGATTATGGTGGAGTTTCCATACAGCGCCGCTGTAAAATATCTGCTAAAAATGTTCAGAAAAAAACCTGGGACCTTGTGTTGCAGGATTTTTACGCATGCTAATTTTAGCGCACAACATTGGAAGAGTGATCGCTCACTAACGTCAACATTTAGTTACGAGAAGGCCTTGAATATACACTGTCCAACGCTAGTCTGTCACGGAAAAGATGATGCCATTGTTGATCAACAGCACGGTCTGGCAATGAAAGAACGCATTGCAAACTGTGAACTCTTTTTGATTTCAGCTAGTCATCAGGCAAGCATTATTCTTCTGAATTTTTGGCACTCAAACCATGTTCAGGGCATATTCTGCGAGCGGACGATGTGGGATGATGTGGAAAGATTTTTAGAGGAGAAAATGAATGTGGCGGAGTCTTGGCTGCATGCAATGGAAGACACATGCTCTTGTACATCTCACGAAACATATTGAACTTCATTAGTAATTATCTTCGTAATCAACCATTTAATGAATTTAATTTATAAAAGATGGCAAGTATTCACGATTTAATTACGAATTTTTACGAAATAAAAGATGATCTGAAGATGTATTTGGTTGCAGATAAGACTCATCTCTCTTCGTTTTTTCATCAAGCAGCTTCCGTAAATATTGCAAAAATCTATATAGAGGAGGAGCATCGCTCCTTTTCAATGTCACAAACTTGGTCAACTTCCCCGTCGAAGCAATACTTTTCGAGATTTTGTCGTCATGCTTCAAACCGCCATCTCTCCGCTTCTAATCTGGATTGAATGTTAAATCATTTTGAACTTCTTTTCTACGGATACAGGGTAAGTTGGCCGCAGGCCCAACACAGTCAGAAGTTACGTGCAAGATCGGACTCTTCTGTACAACCCGATGCGCGGAGTGACCATTATTATACAGATGTTATGTATGCACTATTTTTCAAATCTCCGGATACCATTCGCAGACCTGGGTTCAACTTGTTTGCTCTTTATCGATAGGATTATGATTAGGGCTCGGCACAGCTGGCACCTATCAGGATATCGTTTTTAGGGAAAGCAAAGGGGATATCGTTTTTCCGGGGTCCGTGACGGAGAAGAGCCGCAAGAATGCCGCGGCATGCCACCGGCATGCTGTCCATCAAACAAACAAAGGCGTTGTTTTCAGCAAAACGCAATAGTATGGCACCAAATTTGGTGTGCATGCGCGTTGTGGGACCCAAACTATGGTCCAAAAATTATGAAGACTTATGTGAATGAAAGCTGTGCTGAACTTTTTTCTGAATTAGCTGGCACCGACACTTTGTTCACATAAGTTTTCACACTGTTTTACATAAAATGTAAAGGCTGCTGCATGAAGAAGGCGCAATGGCGATATTGGGTGAGCGTGCGCGAACGCGATGCGCGCGTAACCTCACCGTTGTAGATCCCGCACCTCATGCGCTCTGCGTCTAAAAAAGCCGCGCTCGCGCCCGAAGGTATTGCGCCTTCGTCACGCAGCAGCCTATATCTGCACTGTAATACTTTACATACAGAGAAGAAACAATTTCATAATGTTTTCTTTTCGGCGTTTCATGGACATCTGGAAATTACTTGGTCTGCTCCGCAGTCGAAATATCGGCTTTTTCTGCTTCTCAAGATGTGATTCAACCACTTAAAAAGGTCAGAAAGCTGTGAAAAGTTGTTTCTTGAAACCAGCATGCATGAAAACCCTACTACATCCTTTTATATAATCTAAAAACAATGACGGGTCTTCAAAACAGGTCAAAGGGGACTTCGTACGAAATTTTCAAGACCAAACGGTACTTCGTCTTGAAGTTTCTCTGGTGCCAGCTCGTGCCGAGCCCTGATTATGACAGGAACTTCTAGCGTATAGCACCATTGTGTACTAACTCCTTCATAATTTTCTAAACAAGAGAAAATAAATCCAGCAGGCTATCACGCACGCTGATCACGACTTAATTTTTCTACACGTTTGTAAGGCTCTGAAGCGAATGATGACAAAACTCATTAGCACTGCAACAGCCAAAAGAAAAAGAAAAGGAAAAGAGAAAGGAAAGGATAATGCCTGAGGGTGCGGTAAAGATGAAAGATCGAGCTTGGAGGTAGGTGCGCTTAGAGACGCGCTTTGCGATCGGAGCAGATTGCTCCCCCTTGAGAATTTTTTGAGGGCTATGGATTCGTATGTAAAAGCCTTCAAAGTAAATATACAGAGTGTCCGCAAAGTATGTATACACTGTTTGATCGTTAATAACTCTTTTCCCAAGAAGTCTTTTGCCTTGCTTCAAGTACCATTTTGTAGAGCTGACTTCAACTTAGATTACAGTATGGAGCGAATCACCCATCTCTCTTCATTACTGTAGGATTACGGTGGGAACTTCAAAGAGGGTTTTGAGCCATGAAAGGCCATATTTTGCCTCAGAAAGGAAACGAAACAGCCTGAAAACTTTTATACTAGGCCTAGTTAGAGTTGTTGATTCTAACTGTAAAGTTCCCAACTTATTATGATGCTTCATTGAAGAGTTATGCCAGGTAAGAGGTAGTGGTCATTTTTCCAATGTTCCTAAAAAGTGCGGTTACACCATTTAAAAAGCTTCGCAATCTTGTGAATAGTTGAGTATTGAAACATGTATTCACATTTTTTTTGAAAAATTTTGAAGCGGCAGCTTTTTCCACATTGACACCATATGTTCCAAGTTTCTACCGTAATCCTACCGTAATGAAGAGAGATGGATAATTCGTTTTATACTGTAAATCTAAGTTGAAGCCAGCTTTACAAAATGGTACCTGAAACAAAGCAGAAGACTTCTTGGGAAAAGAGATATTAATGATCAGTGTATACATACTTTACGGACACCCTGTATAACTCATGTAAATAAGTATTATATAACAAAATTATGTAAGCAGAGGTCGAGTTCACTCACTGAAAGCCAACACCGGCACTCCCAATATTCTTAAAGCAATTACCTTACCATAGTTTTTACATGATAAGGCCCTTGGCATACTTATGCGATATTAGTTGCGACGCGATTTGGCAACACCTATCGTTTAGAACTCATCGTAAGTTCGTGTTAAATGTTGAAAAGATAGGAAATTCTTATCAATCCTAGAACGATGCAACTACTCAGATAATCGCCTAGGGCAGGCGGCCATACGAATTTTGAGCAAGCGCGCACCGGAAAAATAGTTCGCTGATTTTATGCGGTCTGCTTGCAGAAATATGAAAGAATGTTGGCCAATTTTCAGAGGAATGCTCGGAAAAGTACCGTGGTTTTTCTGTAGATTAGTTGCGGCGCAGTGGCCGCATTCTCGCGCACTTTCCGCGAGAATATGCAAAAATATATACGGGCCGCACGGTTCTTTGCAAAGGACCGCACAGCCCGTAGGTACCTTCCGCTGAAAGAAGGTACCTCAAACTTGAGTAATTAAACCATCGATAACACCTCTGCCACATAGAGTCTCATCTTTACTCGACGTATGCCCGAAACTGCGTAAAACGAGTCCCATCGCTTGCTCAAAGTTTCCAGCGCTCGCTGAAAGAAATTCTTTGCCGAGCGCTTACAGAAAATGCTGTTTTGGCAGAATATGCGACCGTAAAGGAAGTGCCGCCTCAAAATTCTGCTGACCGTCTGCAGAGAAGCGCGAGTTTGCGGACCGCCTGCCCCCGGCGATTATCTGAGTATATTATTTGTAGTCTGCTAATGTTGTGAGATATTTGGCAAATTGCCAGGTCGCGGACAAGTGAATTACCCTAGAGTGGGCTCTAACAAAAAATAAAGAAGTAGGTTATATAGGTTTCATTTGGGATCATGCATGGCGTTTATCCGGCCGCATTGGCAGCCACTGCAACTGATTCAAAATCAGCTGGTGCTAGAGAAGTCAAGGAAGCAACATGTCTTGATCGTATTCTTGACAATATGCCAAGAATTAAGGACTTGAAGCCCGAACAAGCTAGAGCACTGACAATCCTTGCCGCTGGTACAGCTCTACTTAGTGGTGTTTTGTTAGTCGTATATTACAGTAAGGTTAGTGCTATCTATGACATGCTCTTTGCAAATGTTCCCCTGTTGTAGCGTTGTCATGTGACACGAGAGGGGTTAAAACCTGGTAAGTTGGCTAATGCGGGTTCGTAAGGAAAAAAATTCAACCTTTTAGGGCAAAGTTTGAAAGCAAAAAAAGGACGCCGATCAACTTCCAGTTCACTCAGAAAGACGGATGAATCATCGAGGAGGGGATCAAAGCGGAAGTAATTATTCACGATTAAAATAATGATAAATAGTCAAGCATATCATAGCATAGCATAGCAAGCAATAAACATTCTCCAGAAAATTCACACTTGTTAATCCTCCCCTCTGTAACATGCATGCTGCTTGCGAATTCAAAGAAATTGCTTTGATCGGGCTGTCCTGTAAGTCTACAAGTAAAATCTTGATATAGTAAGGAAATGCAACTTCACAGATCACAAAACTTATGGAATTAATTACAACAAGGAGCAGGGTTAGTTTTTTTTCGCACAAAGTAGGGGGCACCTTAAAAGCGGCAAAAAGGCAAAAAGGGAAAAGCGGGCAAAAAGGCAAAAAGACACGCCATGCAAAAGCGTACAAGATTATTCTAAGGTTCTGTTGATTTGCTTACAATTCTGATTCGGATTGAGCAAAACCATGAAAAGTTTGAAGGTTTAGTGTTTCTGCAAGCGCCTTCAACTCAGGCTCTCATCCTGTAAGTTAGAAAATTGTTGGGGATAGGCGAGACTGGGAAACGCGCGCTTTTGGCTTTTCGCACTGCACTTGCCGAACTTCCTCTCGTAGAACTCAAAAAAGTCTTTCACAACTTCCTATAACTTTTTGCTATACCGGTTGTTTACTCCTGCTTGGCTCTAATTTTTCGCAGACTTTTTGCTGTTCTTCTCATCAGTCAAGAAATAAAAGAGGTGCCCTCGCAAAATCCTTAGCCGCTTTTCTGTTTGAAGAGCGGAGACAGTTGTATCTCCATATTCACTGCTCCGGCGATGTCTGACAAGGAATGCTTGTTTAGTCGAAGTGGCCTTTTTTGATGGGATGTACACCATATTGTAGAGCATAAAATGCTGATTCCAAATCTGCCTTCCGTATCTGCAGAACGTTTATGGACGAGAAGTTATGGGCGTTTTTTGGTCAAAAATTGAATGTGCAAGTGTGACAAAAATAACCGTAATGCTTTTTCTAGCTCTTCCACGGAGCAATGATAATCACCAGAACACTTCACTTGAAAATTAGTCTAAAATAAAAATTATACCACACTTGGTTATTATTTGAAGGCTAGTAAGATTTTAACAACTCATTTTATTCAAAATGCACATTCAATTTTTGGCAAAAAAAAAACGCTCGTCCATAAATGTTCTGCAGATAAGGAAGACAGTTTTGGAATCAGCGTTTTATGCGCTTTAATATGGTATACATCTCATTTGGAAAGGCCGCTTCGACTAAACAAGCTTCCCTTGTGAGAGGGCAGACACGACACGCAACCACCGTCAACTTTCTGCCGCAGGGCAAGCTCATGTCAGCGCAGGTGTGAGGAGAGCTGAATGTTGTCAGGGCGGCTTCGAGACAATATATGGTGCTGGAAAGCCTAAAGCCCAAATCGGAATTAGTGATTTTCTACTGAAGAGAGGACCTAAACCGCTGTGGCATTAGAGTTAGTACAATACAATCTGCCTAGACACTGAGAAGCCATTTTATTTGCATGATCTGAGTGTCGCAAAAGTATCCCAGTAAGCACCCCTTTTTAGTTTATTAACGCGCTTGCAGTCGTAACAATCGTAAATTTTTTTGAAACTATAAGAAAGTATTTCTGTTGGGAATTTCAACACTCCTTAATGCCTATGCACGATAGAATTTTGAAACGTTCAATTTTATCAAGGTTTGCATCTTTTTTCCTCTAAAAAACACTCATAACTTCTTTCCAAGAACGTATGCGGATAGGCAGTATACTTGGGTCCGAATCGAATAGAAATTCGATCATTCGAATAAAACATTCGAATATATTCGTATTCGAAATTCGATATTCGGAGTTCTTCCATTTTCGAATAATATTCGAAACTCGAATAATCAAAAAACGAGGTTTCGAATAAAATTCGAAAACTCGAATAATCAAAAAACGAGGTTTCGAATATTATTCGAAAACTCGAATAATCAAAAAACGAGGTTTCGAATATTATTCGAAAACTCGAATAATCAAAAAACGGGGTTTCGAATAGATTTTATTCGAATGTTTTATTCGAATGTTTATTCGAATTCGTATTCGAATGTACTCCGTATTCAGATTATTCGACTTTGTTGCAGAGCCAACTGCTGAGTATCAAGCTCACTTCGTCCGCGTTTTTTTTCCGCAAAACTCGGTAATGCATCTTTTGCAACCGTTATACCTTTGAACTGTATGGAGAGTCGCAGTTCTTCCGACTGCTTGCGACAGTAAAAAAATCATATGTGGATTTTAATTGATGTAGAAAGTAGAGCAAGCCCTTTGCTTTTACATTGTTGATGCTGATAAGAAATAAAGTTAATTCTGGTGTACATCAGTCTCTTTCAGACCATCTGAAGAAGAATCTTTTGGGCACAGCATAAAAATTTATATCGACTGCTTTTTAGATCGTCCATAATGGGTAAAATATGACTTTTTGCTGATGTATAGACTAGATGCCGACCGACCGACTTTATCGATTTTTGGGGAAGTTTGAGCTGCGGGGCTGAGAGTTGGTACAAGGGAGTAAGTGAGGGTGCTGATTATGGATAAAAATTTACTTTATAAATTTTATCGATTTTTGGAAAATCTCGAGCTACGAGCTTGGAGTTGGTACAGGGGGTAAATGAGGATGCTGATCAAAACCGAAATCTATTTTATCGATTTCAGCAATTTTTGGAAAATTTTGAGCTAGGAGTTGGTATAGGGGATACTAGGGGGCTGATTATGATTGGATCGGCTCTAGCCAGATATGTCGGCAAGCTTGAGATGTGATTGCTTTAGCTATTCGATAAATCATTCGAATATTTATTCGAAATTCGACTTCCAGTGTTCGAATATGTTCGATATTCATTCATTCGATATTTTTGATTTCCCGAATTTATTCGAAATTCATTTATTCGATATTTTTGATTTTCCGAATTTATTCGAAATTCATTCATTCGATATTTTTGATTTTCCGAATTTATCCGATATTTGTTTATTCGAAAATTTTCCTTTTCGAATTTATTCGATATTCATTCATTCGATAAATTCTCGAATTACCCAAGTATAATAGGCAGGTTTGAAATCAGTGGTCCAGGCTCTTTGTTATGTCTAGTGATAAACAGACACTCCCGAGCCTAGTTTTTCATCTGTGGGAGCAATTTCTTCGTCGACGTCGCTCTTCGTAAATCGTATGGTACATCCTCTGTAATTTCTTTATTTTAGCATTCAGTTCAAATCGGGATGCCAGCAAAAAAGAGTAAATCAAAAGTTGGAATAGTGGATCCAAAAAAGTATGCTCGAAGTTGTGCCTTCCGCGCGCTTTTTGTTTTACTTAAATTCTGTTCTTTGTGGAACGAGAACAACGTTGGTGCATATGGAAGCCGCCGTCCTACAGAACGACTCATGTGGATCCATCTCTCCAACAGTATACTTACTTGATATCCCGATAACTCCACCTTCTGCTTTGATTTTACTTTAAGATAGAGCCGGTGTCATAGGCTACTTCTCAGATAATCGCCGGAGGCAGGCGGTCTCCAAACTCGCGCTTTTCTGCAAGCGGTCAGCAGAATTTTGGGGCGTGACCAAACCCTTCAGCGAGCGGTACTCCCTTTACTGTCTAATGTTCTGCCAGTGGGCAGCAACACAGGATTTTCTGCAGGTGCTCGTCAAATAATCTCTTCAAACGCTGGCCGAACTTCCAGCAGGCGGTCGGACTCTTTTTACGCAGTTTCGGGGTTTACGTCGAGCACAGGTAAGACTCTGTGCGGCAGAGGTGTCACCGTTGGTTTGATTACAGTTTGAGGTACTTTCTCTCAGCGGAAAGTACTTGGGGACAGCGCGGTCCTCCACAAAAGACCGTGCGGCCCTCGAAAATTTTGCATATTCTCGCGGAAAGGGATGCGGCCACTCCGCAGCTAATCTATGAGGAAACCGCGATTGTTCTTCAAGCATTCTAAAATTTCGCTAAAATTCTTCCAAATATCTGCAAGCGGACCGCAAGAAATCAGCGAACTATTTTTCCGGTGCCCGTCCGCCTATGATTCGCATGGCCGCCTGCCCCCGGCGATTATCTGAGTTATCGTCATTGCCCGGCACTACTTGGTTTTCGCGGTATTTTAGAGCAAAGTTCCCTTTGTCTCCACCAAAAATTCACGAAGAACCCTTCAACAGCCTGCAAACTTCATCTTGGTGTTTTTACATGTGGAGATTTTTACAGTGCAAGGGGAGAACATAGAAATCAGAAAAAGCAATTAAAATCTTTATTCCTGTAACAACTTGAGCTATCGTAAGACAAAAGACGGCAAAGCGGTCAGAGCATATAGACAGAAATGAAAACCATAGGAACAGGATGCTCAAAATGTGCATACATACCCTCGATACATAGAGCCACGTACTCTGGTAACCTTCACTTTGAGGGCTATGGGGGACACAACCTTCATCTGGAAAAAAGCGGAAGTTTTCCGGGCGAAGCCAAAGATGTTATTATCCTGACTATATCGGAAGGAATGTTAATGAAGCAAATATAGAGAGTAATATCTTTAGCTTATCTCAGCGAAACCGAGAATTTACCTTTTCATAGCCTTTTTTACCTTAAAAAGAAGGTTTCTGCGGAATCTTCCCCAAAATTCAAGACAAAATTTTTCAGTTATCCTCTCATTTGAATAAAATCGAGTTTCAGAAGTTTAGGAAAGCTATTGGAGTTAAATAAAAACGAAACTGCGCTTAAATCTTGCGCAGAAAGTCGCGCACAAAAACGCTGGTCTATCTCGTTAATGAGTGATTTTCAAAATTGGGACGTTGTCAATTCTCCTCGTCGTGCCATGACGATCAGAATGATATATAATGTTGCAGGGTTTCGTTGAGACCCGCGGAGATCTACCACCGGAGCCAAATGCCGCGTCGGCTCTGGTCTGTCTCCGCTGCTCGTCTGCGTCTCCGCGCGCTGCGCGCTACCTCGCTACCCCAAACGCGGGCGCGGGGCATTTGGCTCTGGTACCTTTTTCTTCGCTGTTTCGAACCCAATTTCGGCAAGCTATATATCATTTTGAAGCTCTTGATCTCTATTTTCACGCTGACAACGTCCCAGAACTTCACTTTATGACT